TAACCTTGCTGAGTTTACCTTGAGTGAGCTTCCATCCCCCCGAGGGTCAACACTGCAAGCTAGGACCAGTGAGCTGGCACCGGGCTGTCTTAGCTCTACGGGAATCACCGCACTCGCTCTCACGAAGCATTTTACAGCTATTGGAGCGCATGCGTGTGACAGTTGCCGACTGCTTAAGAGTGTAGACCTTTGCAACACCAAAGTGGAAGAAATTCCGGAATTCACATTTGTGCACTGCACCAGCCTCAGAGAAGTTCTCCTTCCGCCTACTCTCCATACAATCCGAGTGAAAGCCTTTATGAACTGTGCAGCCCTTGTTGAGCTTGCAATTCCGCCCTCACTAAGATACATTGGCAGTAGGGCTTTCTTGGATTGCACTGCTTTTAAGAGGCTCGCCAAGATGCCAGGAAGGCACAAATGGCGAAGAGTCTATGCTGAAGAAAATGCTTTCGCCATTTGTCCCCTAGTCGTGGATGAAGACAAGCCTCTCTGACCACAGCTATCGCGGTCTCACTGTCACTCATCAAGAGTCTGGGCGCGCGCCTTAGCTCGAGTCCAGAGCAGGCCAGAAGCCACAGCAGGCCAAATACCATGAGTAGAGCCAGCTTCGGTTGCAAGCATTTTGCACTAAAGCGCCCGAATAGTGTCTGCCCTAGCGGTCGGCTCGGCCAGAGCAGGATGCAGCGCAGCCAAACCGAGACTCTCCGAACTGCAGCATTCTGGAGGCGGGTATTATCGCACTTGCCTTGCCGACAGACTTCACCAGGATAGGTTCCACCGCCTGTGCGAGCTGTCAACAGCTCAAGCTGTTGACCTGTCCCAAACTGAGGATCACGGCAAAAGAAGCCTTTCTTAAGCGTACCTCACCACAGGAGGTTTCCACTCCTGCTTTACATGGCGCTATGCGCTGTTGCAGGCAGTACGCATCTTCGAGCATTGTGTGAACAAAGAAAAAGCAACACATGGCGAAGGACATATGTCCTTGACAAAGGTGGGTAACTCGTCTAGTCCAAGCAGCACCGAGAGTTGGCGGCCGATGCCAGTGATCGATGGAGAGAAGACTTTCCAGACCCTGCCTCAAAGACAAGCAATGCTTTCGCAGCAGGAATGGTGGAAAAGCACACCGCCAGCAAGCTACGGCAAGTGAAATGTGCAAACACTAAGTAGGGTTGCCAATCTCTCTTCGCCATTTGCAATACAGTGAGCCAATAGAAATGAGAGCCTTAGCTCCTCGTTCTCAACAGGCGGTGGTAGAGAGTGGCAATGGAGGATGCCCAGAGGGAACCTTAGTTCCCTCTATTGATGTCCGACATTTCCTATTTTGTACAAAGAGGTACAGACACCATGCTAGGATAGTTTCAACGTCTCACCTGTTTCACACGGGCCTTGCACGCAACAGAACAAATTTTGCAATGACGCAGCATTTCACGAAGTCAGGAGTCACCCCGCTTTGGCACCACTGTGTGCCGAAGGGTGCCGAGCTGACCTCCCTTCGGGGGGATGTGCCTTTCGCACCCTTACCTGCAGGTTTTCGTCGTTTGCTATGGCCGCCACTGTCTGAATACCACCAACTACTATGCCTCTGTACTTGTAAGTGCAACCAGTTGAATGGGTTGTGCTACAAGAATGGTTTTTTCCACGGCATGATGCATAGCAACCCCTGATCCATTTTGACATGGATACAACCGGCGTTGGAGCAAATCAAACGCTCGGGACCTGCATCGAGACCATGTTTTTGCCACACCGTGCAGTGGCCGCTGGTCACCGGTATTGAGATGTGAAGTCCATTTGAAGACTTTCTGGAAACTTTGCCAGAGCACAAACCCGCGCTGCCATGCTCTTCGTTCGAGAATTCAGGCCCATCGAGAGTCAGTAGTTTTCGTTTCACTTGTTTCACCTCAGCACAGAGGAAAGACTACAGGATGGTGGAGACTCGGCCCGTGGTTGGCGGTTGTTTTGTTGTTGGGTTTTCTTTGTCCTTTTCTCCACCATCTGACTGTATTTCCCTTCCTTCAACGATGACCTGGGCACCATGCCCACACGGCGTCCGTACTCGTGGAAAAAAAAAAGCAGTGGCCCTCTTGGTCACAGTTTGGTGGGTGGGGCAAGGCCTCTTTGATGGGCTCCGCTGCACTCCGCTCTGCGCTGACCATGCCGTCTGACTTTCGTTGTGAATTCAGGCCCATAGTTAGTTCACAGTCAGGTTTTGTCTTTTTCACTTGTCTCACCCTCGTACAGAGGAAACACTTTAAATGAGAGCGAATCGGCCTCTGGCCGTGTTGGCTTTTTGGTTGGTGGTTTTTTGTTTTGGGTTGGTGGTTTCTTGCTGTTTTGGGTCGCTTGTGTTCTTTTTTCCCTCATAGTGCAGTGTTTCCTTCCCTTCAATGATGACCTGGGCACTCCGCCCACACGGCGTCCGCACTCGTGGAAAAAAGACTCCAAACTGCTTGCAGCCTGGAGCGAGTGCCGTCGTGCAAAGAGCAGGAAGATTCGAGTTTGCAGGCAGATTACTGTGCTGGCAAGATGCACAATTTGGAGGCGCTGGCAGTTACGCCATGCAGCCTTTCCTATGATGCGAAAGCCTGTGTCAACCTGCGCATGCCGAACCTCCGTGATGCAAGAAAAAGCTTGTGGCAGAATTTTGTCTGTAGTGCAATACGGGACTCGAATGGCTTTTGCATCACCTTTCATTTGTCCCTTATGTTCGGCCTCCTCAAAACATGGGCACGAGATGACAGTAAAACAATTGTTGTTCGCAAGGTGTTCCACATTGGGTCCACTAGTTTTTCATGAGTGTCACGACAGACAAAGTCCAGCTCACAGCCAAAGGTACTGCTCTCTCCAATATTGGGGAGTTGCTCCAAGACCGCATTTTCAAATTCGTAGAAGCGGTCATATTCCTGCAACTCGACTGTAAGCTGGGTTTCTTCTCCCGCCAGCGTGGTTAGGATCAAGTGCGAGACCATTGACTTTTCATTGCTCCATTGTGAGCCAGTCACCGACATAAAGTCTGTTATCATGTCATCAGGTCATGGCCCGAAAGTGTACGTCTAGCTTCGAGCCTAAATGTCATGCAGGGGACCACAAACGGGCTTACATGTCTGGCGTTCTCCCTATGGGAGTTTGGGATGCGGACAACTGCACGGGCAGCCGTTTGAGCGCATTTCAACCTATGTTAGTGTTCGGTTTTGTTTCTCCGACACCTGGACCTGTTCCTTTGATTGCTATATTTGCTATGCAAAGACACATAAAAAATCCCCCCTGGGGTAGTCAATGCATTACATGCCTCGAAGGCATTGTCATAGGTCTTGCAAGGTTTCCACGGACTTGCCCCCGCCACTCCTGCCGCCTCGGGTCCTTCTGTCTCGCCTGTTCCAATTGGTGTCTTGGGCAGCATTTTTGGCATGATGTCTGGGGAACGGCAGATGGCCTGTGGCATGCTGGCCATGCACTGCTTGCTTGTGGACTGTTCCTTGGTCTGGGTGTCTGGCGCCGACTTTCTTGGACGAAGTTGGCATCCTTTCCAGCGAGGCACTGACCATTGGTGGTTTGCGGGAGGAGACTTGCGACTTTGCTCGACCAACGACGAGACTGAGTTCTGACGTTGGCTCGGGCTTCATGCTTTCGCGAGCATTGGGGAGGTCATTTGTTACCTCCAGACGATCAAGATGTTTTTGCGGGCTTTTGTGTTTGTGTCTATGTGTTGGACAGGTTCATGGACATGACCAGCCTCTTGATGGTCAAAACCGGTTGGTGGTGACCCGGGTGTTTGCAGATGCCAGGAGGAGGTGTGCTCAGGATGCTAGGGGACCAGAGCGCCTAACGAGCAGGTGCGGCTCCTGCTGGCCCGTCCCCCTGACACATCCTTTGAAGCACCCTTGAGAATGGAGCAGTTGGGTGATCAATGGATGATTCCTCGTTGATGCAGTTGGTTGCTTTTCCCTGAGGTGGTCTGTGCTCTATGATGGGTTGGAGCTAGGACTTTTTCGTCTGGAGGCAACTTTTTCTGCTCGGCATTTTGTGAGAAGTGACGAACTGAAAGGTGTCAGGTCAACACTTCACAATGGGAATGGTAGATTTCGTGCATTCATTCAGCCATTGGGCGGAGAGCAGGATCTTGCGCGACCTGTGGAACCTCCACCGGGACATCCCTCTTTGCGGGATGTGATCCTGTATCAGGATGAGCACACCTATTGCCTCCCACTCCTGATCCAAGTTCGTGTCCCGGACAGCATTTTGCAGCGCGGTCATTCTGGACAGGCCGCGTGGCTCGGCTTGGATTGACTCCGCAGAACTCTTTGCTTTGTGGGATCCGCCTTGTCATTGTGACACGGATGAGTGTTTGGTTCTATTTCCTACATTAGCCAATTACGGGGAGGTCATTGTAGTTAAGCCAGGCTCCTTCATTCAATTGAAGTGTGGACATGAGTATGAGCCTTCATGGACTGAGGCTTCTTCTTGTTCCACATGCATTGGAGCACCCCCCTTTCATTCTGAGGAGCTCTTCTCTGCCGCGGAGATTTGATGGGGAGATTGAAAGCCTGTGGGAGAGCCATACTGAGGTACGAGGCCTTGACCGTCTTAACATGGATGCCATGACCTTTTTGTGGATGATGGGAACCGCACCACTCCTACGGGTAAGGCATGTTGACTTCAAACATCGGACTTGGACGACAAGTTGGGGGGACATTATGGCACTGACTTCAAGCAACCTGATTCTGAAGGTCAGAGCTGCTCTTCATGAGGACTTTGCACCGCATGTTGAACTCTGGATCGGTGCTGTGACTCCACAACCTGATCAAGCTATGCAAGGACTCCAGGATCACTTTGAGATTCTGGCACGAGGTCGACGAGGAGGTGTCCCTTCTCTGGTGATTTTTCACCATGGTACACCCTATAGGCCGCAAACAAGACACATCCCAGTCTCTACGTGTAGCCCAGTGACCTGTCAGGAGGTTTTGGAGGCAGCAAGGGGTTTCGCCATGTGCCATGCTCCGGGAATGCAATGTGCCTGTTTCCTGGAAGGTGTTGCGCCCTTCTATAATGACCGTGTTACACTGAGGGGATGGCAGAGGATTGATGTGTATGTGGCTGATGTTGGACGAGTTTGTGACCCTGTGGATCCTGCTCATGGGCTACAGCAGGCATTTGACGACGATGTTGTGGCTCTTTTTGATTTGGGACAACATGACACAGCGGGCAGCAGTTGGGCGGAAGCGCGCCAAGAGCTGTTTGACCGGGCTCTTTTCCATGCTGAAATGGATGATCATTTCGATGCCTTGGTGGCACATATGGCGCACCTTGCGCAGGTCGTCCTTTTTTTGGCGGATGGACAAGATGCCATGCATGGTTTTGTCATTCAAAATTGGCGTGGGCAGTCGTTTGTGAACATGGTGGAGCATAGGTGGGAGCACTTGGGAGGCCTGCAGTGGGACTTTATCATGCTCCGACTCATGCCCTCCATGTTCGACTACCACGGGCGCATGATAATGTTGATCATCCCGCCAGCAGTCCTCCTGGAACAGAATGCCTACCCGGAGGTGGTGATTGAGTGGACCTTTCAGCTGCGTTGGGCTTGTGCTTAGCTCGCACCGTTCCGCTCCTCCTCACGCGGAATGAGTTCCTTTCCTATTTCCTGGTGGAGATCCCGGCCGTTTTGGATGTGAGCGTTCAGGTCAACGGGATCAGGCAACCTGCCTATGGCAGAATGCACCTGCGAGCTGGCGATTCCATTCATGTGGTTTTTCTTTGGTGCCAAGTGCAGCAACTTTACCTTGACCTAGTGGCATCGGGTGCTGCTGAGGCGGACTTGGCATACAACTTGTCCCCAGCTGGCCTTCCGCCGGATGTGTTCGAAGAATGCTACATGAAGGAAGGCAGGGCGGTGATCCTTCTGCCTTCTGGGGAAGGTATTTATTCGCGCACGCTCTTTGCGCATGTCCACCTGGAAGTGTACCACTACCAGCTGTGGTAGGAGTCTTGGGCCAAGACAAGGTGGCCGGTCCTGGTTGCACATCCACACTGGCATTTGGATCAAACCCACCGATCCTACCGGACCCCGGACCTCTTGCGGGACTTGGTCGAGGTCTTTTATGTGGCATCGGAGACTGCTGATTTAGTGCATATCGTTGCGGAGCTGGAGTTGGTTGGTCTTCAGCGGGACATAGCCCCACATGTGAAGGTGCTTCAGACCCCAACGATGGTGACTAAGGGCTACCTCTACCAGCAATGGTTCAATGTGGCCCAGCTTGAAGCCGCCAGTGATCTTCCTCTAGTGTACCGCAATGGACAACCTGTACACCAAGACGCTTTTGAGGTCAAAGAGAGCGACTACATCCTGGTCAAGGTCTTGGATCCTGAGGATATCAGGGAAATGAAGCGGCAACGACAGTGCCCTGCTGGTACAAGTTCTTCAGATTCAGCACCGTTGGAGGCGCTCACTCCGAGTGCTCAGGCAGCTGTTGGGCCAAGTTTGATGCAGCAAAGTCGTTCCCTTGGTCCACACCGCACTTTTGCTGATATTCTTGGTGGACGTGAAAGATCAAGATCCCCCCCAGTTGGCGTGGACACTTTGAAGGTTTATGGGGAGAACCTTCTTGTCAAGGAATGCCCTTGTGCAACGAACACGTGGATGCACGCTGCACGCACCTGCATCCTTGGGCCTGATTGCCTTGCCTTGCCGGGCTATGTGATGGAGAATGCTTATGTCATGGAGATCTACCCCCCACTGAAAGAACCAAGCCGTGTGGTGCATTCGTTCCTCTTCGCCTCTAGTGGAACTCTGAGACCTGGGCAGGTGCTGATCTTTGTGGAACTCATTGAGAACGTCCCCAATACCATTGGCCGGCATTCCAAAACCAGGCGAGTTCTTAAGGTCCATGCTGAGTATACCAGGGCACAACTCGCGGCTGATCTTGGTGTGACGGAGAAATGCTCTACAGTGACCTGCTTAGTGCTGCAAGGCAACACTTTGTGACCCTTGGAGGATCGAGCGCCACGCTTTGCAGCATTTGGGGGCTCTTACACTATCATCGCGACAAATGATGATGAGGAGAGTGCATGCCAGACTTCTTCCACAGATAGTGTGTCCTTGCTGCAAACGCAGGTGAGGAGGCAGGTGGCCACACGACCAACTCACACCTTTGCTTCAATGGCCAGAGTGAGACTCCCTCCACCAGGCAATGGTAGACGGGTCTGCTTTGATGATGTGGTAGAGCTCAATGAAGGGGATGGCTATATGACAAGCTATAAGGATCCACTCCTCTCAAATGAGCACTTCAGTGGACTGTTGGAGGTGCTTGACCGGGAGCTCAAGGGAAATGACTTTGGCCATCGTTTTGGACGTTTGCTACGTAGCCCCTCCCTCCATGATAGTCATCCGTGGTTGGAACGACCTGAGTGGGGGGCTTCTACACCTTCCGTGGATCCAATGGCCAACAGCGACTGCAGACACCTGGAACTTTCTTCCGGTGAGGGAGGACACCCATGAAGAATAGCAACACTCACCCAGGCAGGTGATCTCCTTAGCTGACTTGATTGGTATGAAATTCCGCCCGGTGTACAAGAGAGAACGTAATGAGCATCAACACCAGTATGGCGTGGACTGTCATGAGGTCATTCAGGCCATGGACTGGTTCAATTGCCATGCTTGCATCCCGCTCTTCCCGAATGACATTTCATGGAAGGCTTGCACGGACCCTTGGGTGAAGCTGCCTTGGTGGGAGGGGGCACCTCCTCAGGAGTTACACTTCTACCTTGACGGTTCCTCAATTGACCATCATGCAGGAGCGGCGGTCACTCTCTGGGTTTACGCGGAAGCTTGGCAATGGGCTGGTGCACTCATGCACAAGTTAGATGATGGCCGGAATGCGTATGAAGCGGAGGTGGTTGCACACATGCTGATGATGAAATGGGTGCATGATCTGTGGAGGACACACGGCAGACGGTGGCTCCATGTCCCTCGAGTTGTATGCCATTATGACTCTACGTCTGCTGCTGGCACGGCTCTGGGGTGGTATCAAGCACGTGATCCTTTGGCTATGAAAGCGAGACGGCTCCATAATCTTCTGAAGCATGGGCACTCCATTGACTTTGAGGCAATGCACACTTATGGACACCGGGGTGATCCTGGTAACGAGGCAGCAGATTCTTTGGCCAAGTTTGCTGCTCTACATCCTGGGGTTCAAGAATCGTTTTGGCAAGGCTTCTGTTCGGAGAGTACAATGGTTTTGGATCTTAGCTCGACCTGATCTACGAGAGTACTGGCATGCAGGCCGCTTGCAGCCGCCTCAGCCTCAGCCAGAAGCAGATGAGCAAGTGTTGCGAGAGCTGCGTGCCTGGCAAGCTTCAACCACACCGAAGTCCTCGTTATGCCTGCAGTTGAAGACCGTCTCATGCAATGTCTTCACCCTTTCCAAAAAGTATGTCTCTTCTTTGGCGGCAGCTGTGGGGTTCTTGGATCAATGCCATGGCAAGGACATTGCGGTGGTGGCCTTGCAGGAGACAAGATTGAAGAGGACTCGTCTGGGGCACTCGGACTACATCGTCGTGGCGCACCCTAGTCTGAAAGGCAAAGGTGGTGTCTTGCTAGCCTTGCATCGGCGACTTCTGCGCATCGATGGTGAACATGGACCAAAGGAGGCGCTTGCGGAGAAGCACATTTCTGTTGTTGCGAGCACCCATGAGTTGCTGATTGTCAGAGTTTGGTACGGTTCTCTTGATGTTCTGATGGTTGTGGCACATGCACCTCACACAGGACGCCCTTTTGCTGAAGTAGAGGCCTTTTGGGGTTCCATTGCCACTTCCATTCCTGCATATCTCAAATCGAATGACATGCTGGTGTTTGCAGATGCAAATGGGCGGCTGGGCTCTCGGACTTCCGAGGCAGTGCAAGGATGCAATGCTGAGGAGGAAAATCCGAATGGAGCATGTTTTCATGAATTTCTCCAAACTTGGCGCTTGTGGGTGCCGGCGACCTTCGATGCCTTCCACACTGGGCCGGGCTTCACGTGGACGCATCCTAATGGGGGGCAGAGCCGGATAGATTACATTGCTGTGCCTGTGCGGTGGTTCTTTTCATGGACTGACCTCCAGCCTGCGCATGGACATCTTCACGATCATCATGCTGTATGTTTGGAGTTCCAATGCCATTTGGAAGGTCGTGATGCTTGTCAGCATGTGCAACGGCCGGTGTCTCTTCAGCATTTGGGAGAAGCTGCAGTGGCGCAGGAGCAAATGGCAAGGGTCAGCCACATGCCGCCAATCGATTGGGCAATGGATGTGCACCAGCATGCTCACGAGCTCACGAAGCGCTTTTCTTCTGGGGTTCATGCAGTGGTTCCCAAAAGATTGCCCTTTCACCGAAAACTTCATTTCTCGGCAGTGACTCGCAGGGCTATTCTGCACAAAGCCCATCTACGCGGTCGTCTCCTTCGATTAGAATATGGGAGACGGCTATTGCTTCTGCGGGCTTGTTTTGCTGCTTGGAGAACCAATGAAACTGAGATGGGGCAGATGTTGACAGACATGGGTCAGGAGGATAGACATCTGGCATGCACTTGGGTGTCTTTGTTCTTGACCTTTCGTCGGGTGCGAAACAGTGCGACAGCTTTGCAGCGCTACGACACACAGGTGTTCTTTGATGCCTTGAAGGATGAATGGCACAATTGTGATCAACCTGGGAAAACCAAAGAGCTTTGGACCCTGGTGAAGAGGCATCTTCCGCGCCACAAGACACGTCAGCATGCTCGCCCGGCAGTTCAGCATGAAGAACTTAGGGATCAGTGGAGGCCTCATTTAGAACGGCTTGAGGCTGGAGCTTCTGTGCGCTTGGAAACTCTATACCAGGAGCTACTCAGTGATGATCCTCCATTTGAGGCCAGCATGCAGATGTGTGCCTTAGAAGAGATTCCTCCCCTGGTTCAGGTTAAAAACTCATTGCGGGCCACACGGCCGGGGAAAGCGGCTGGGCCTGAGGGGCTGCCTTCTGAATGGATTCATGCAGGTGCTGATTCTTTGGCACCATGGGTCTTCGATCTGATTCTCAAGATGATCCTCACGACCCAAGAACCCATCCCATGGAAGGGCGGGATCCTTCAGGCGTTTTCCTACTTCGGCTGAGCAATACCGAGGCATCATGCTCCCAGGGGTTCTGGTCCGTCGTGTTCATGCTCTTTTTCGACCAATGGGCTGCACGAGCCCAACCACCAGGACAACTTGGAGGGTTTGCGCAATGTGCTTTTGGGAGTCTATACATCCAAACCTTCATGCGGAGAGCCTATCACCTGGGAGCGGCTGCCGCTGTGATTTTCGTGGACCTCAGAGCTGCCTTTCACTCAGTGGTTCGTGAGCTCATCCTTGGTTCCTCTTCTGGAAACCATACGGACCAGCGAATTCTGGCGGAGACTCTGCAACGAGAAGCTTTCACGATTGAGGATGTCCAAGCGCTCCTGCAGACTACAAGCTTGTTGCCAGATACAATGGTAACCAGACTACTGAGAGAGATCCATAGTCGCACTTGGGCTACTCTCCATGGTGAAGCAGTTCGCACTACCAGGCCGGGTAGCCCGCTGGCTGACGCTATGTTCCATTGCCTCATGGGGCCGATTGTGAACGAGCTGGAGTGTGCCATCAGTGCACGTCCCCAACAATGCATGATGAGAACACGTTGCGGCGCTCTTGCGGCTTCCATTGTTTGGGCTGATGATCTTGCGGTGCCAGTGCTGGCGGCCTCCAATGCCGACCTTCTGGTAGAGGTTGGACAGATCTTCTCTGAGATTGGGCAGGCTTTCAGGCAGCGGGGCATGACCTTGAATATGGCCAAGGGTAAAAGTGAGGCCTTGATGACTTCTGCAGGCCTTGGGGCTAAGCAAGCGCGTGAACATCTACGGATGCAACCACGACTGGAGCTTGACACTTGTAGTCTTGGTTCTGGCCCACGAACCTTGGTGCTCGGTGCTCAGTACAAGCACCTAGGGACGACACTCTCAGCCGGAGGACTTCTTGGGCAAGAGATCCACAGGCGGGTTGGACAGGCTTGGTCCGCTTTTCGCTCCATGGCGCGGCAGATATTTCTCAACCCTGCTTTGAAAGACACCACCCGTCTCTTTTTGTTGGAGGCTTTGATCTTCACCAAGTTGTACTATGGGTGTGGTTCCTGGCCTCTTTTGCGGGCGCAAGACATGCGGCGCTTGCAAGTGTGTCAGGGCACCATGCTCCGACGCACACTTAGACAGAACAAGTTCGAAGGCAATCAGGTCCTGACACATGTGGAGATCCTCGTTCAGGCTCAATGTGCTCCAGTGCGGGTCCGACTAGCTCAACAGCGTTTGTTGTTGGCGGCCAGGCTGATCCAGCATGGGCCTCAGTTCATCTGTGACGAGCTCCAAAAGGAATTTGACGAGTTGTCTGATGGATGGAGGGCTGGTCTTGCAGAGGACTTGAAATGGCTTGCTTCTGCCATGGATATGAGTGACTGGGGCACCACCTTTGCTGAACTTCATCCGCATTGGCGTCAAGGGCGCCCCGGTTGGAAGCGTTTGGTGAAGCAGGCGGGCATCAAGCATGTTATGCTCTTGCCAAGACTCCATGGTCGAGCGTGTGAGAGAGGTGGAGAGGAGGATACACTTCTTGATCTTCTTCACCAAGTGCAATGTCGTTGTGAATGTGGTGTGGGCTTCCACAACAAGCGAGCGTTGAGGCTCCACCACATTCAAAGACATGATTGGCGCAATGCAGAACACGGTAGGGTTCATGGAGCAACGTGCCCAGTTTGCTTGCGTCATTTCTGGATGGTGAACAGGCTCCAACTACACCTACGCTATGTGTCCAGACAGGGAGGTCCAAACCGTTGTGGAGCATGGGTCCGTATGTATGCATCTCTGGAGGCTGGTCGAGATGACTTGCCTCCAGACAATTTTGCTGCATTACCGGGAGCCACTCGACGAGATGCTATTAAGCTTGCAGGGCCGCAGGTTCTGGGAGCTTGTGATCAGGACCTTCATTCATGCGGCTCCGGGCACAATTGTTGCAGGCTGGTGTCTCTTTTCAGATTGAGGACGACTCTCGGCTGGCCCTCTTTGCGGCCTTTGAGCAACAATGTGAGGAGCGCCTTTCCCTTGAGGCCATGAGATGCACTTGGCAGGAGTTCCCGCAAGGAGAATGGTTGGGTGCTGTTTTCCTTTGGTGCATGCAGGGTGGTCTAAAGGGTGATGATCTTCGCTGGTGGCGCCACACCGTGGCCCGATGGGCAATGGGGCCTTTGCTGCTATGTGCGCTGACCATGCAGTACATGTACATCGACTTCGTGAGTTACATGATCTGCAGCCTCTGAGAGCAGCATATTTGGGTCCAGCCACCAGTGGTGACCAATTGCATGCGGGGCACCTGGTTCCCTTACCGATTATTTGGAAGGGAGGGTTGCCGGTAGCTGTGGCCTCGCTGTCACTCCGCGAAATGCGGCGTTTGATCTGAGATGCCATGTGCTCTAATTGAGCTTTTGTCTACAGACCGCTCTCACGCCATAGGCAATAGCCTACAAACGGTTGCGAAATGAAAATGACATGTTTGGAAGAGTGAATAGACGTATGGAACGTCGTGGGCTACAAATGGACCACAATACACTGAGACGGTACAATCATTTTGGACATGCAACTGGGAATTTTGGAACAAAACCATAGTGAAGGTGTGGGGAGAAGAACCCATATGATGTGTCGTGGAATGACAGACCTTTGACCAGATTCAGGTTCATCAGCAGGACCAGAAATTGAAGAGGAAGAAGAACCAGAGAACGAGGGCATTGCGACACACTATTATGTTGGAGAAGCAGCAACATCGAGCGTTTTGACAGGCACAGTAGCAGATTCACAATGTAGAGAAGAGCTTGATGAGGCAGATGGATATTTCTCTGAAGCAAATGTTCCAGGGAGAAATCTTCCTATGTCTACAACAGAGCAAAACCAAAACGACGAAGCAGCAAATGAAGCTGAAGATGAAGAAGTTGAAGATAGGCTAGCAGAGTCGATTGAGATACATTTATTCAGGCATTGAAGAGGTTAGTGATCCTAATATTGGCAGGAGTTGCATCATTTCAGTAGCGAAGATGAAGCAAGCAGTTCGATTGGTGAAGACGACAACAATTGATTTGTGATGGAATTTACAATACATTTCTTTTGTTTTGGATGACCTGTGAAACCGTCTGAACCACAGGCGTTCAGAGTTGAATACCGTGTACCAGCTGAACCACGGTATAGTCGCACTACAACAAATGCATTGAGCAAAGTTTTCATGGTTGAAACCATCTGAACCACGCATACAAAAGTCAAATTGGCAGTTTTGTGCTTGGAATGGTGTGGAAATAGATACACCGGAACGGTGGCTATAGAAACTAGCCGAATAGATTTGTAGAAAACCTTTTTCAGTTCCACCTAGCAGACGGTGGATTCTACAAATCGAGAAGTGTACAAAGAAAAGGTGGAGTGTCGATTCACTTCATCACACTCCAAGGCGGGGTGTTAACCTTTTGTAGATACACGTACAGGTACATAGATGAGATGTTGTTTAGTGTGCAGTTGATGTCATTGGAATCTGTTCATATCAGTACAACCGCCATAGCGCTCGGGTTCAAAAGGAAGTTGCTGCCTAACATTAGTCCCCGAACCTGTCTCATTTCATTGGACACCATTGTTCAATGTGTGTTGTTGAGGTTTTGGACCAATGTTTTTCTTGTTTGTTGCAAGCTCCATGACGTTCCCGTGGATCGCAATTTCACTCGTGCCTGAAATAGCTTGGTCGATGTTTTTAAAAAATGCGACAGCGAGCGTCTTCCAGTTGGCTAAAGTGAACATCATTTTCGCTCTGCTGTTTTGCGGTTTTTTGGGTCAAAAAATGTTGCACACGCACGGTCGACCCGAGCGATTCCAGGCGAGATGACATCCGCGGAGCGTGAAACTTTGCAATTTCAGCGTCGATACGTGCAATATTTTCCAGTTCAACGAGACTGGGGAGGTCTGTGGCGACTCCAGACCCTGCAGCGTTTTTATTCGTTTTTGGGGCCGCCAGTGGAGCAGACGTTGTGATCCGGTTGTGATGTGACCTTAAGTTTGGGGTTTGTTGCGCAAAATTTCAAGAGCCACTTCCTTGGAAATTGTTTGTTTGGTCCTTTTTTCTGTGCTTTGTGGCCCCGACAAGTCTGAGAGTGCTTCCTTTGTTCCAAGCAGTCTGTGCCTCAAATTTCACGCTTTTGATCCCCGCATATTTGTGGGTGCATCCGTACACTCACGTTCCAGTTTTGTGCAACTGCTGATCTGGGGGTGTTTTGCTGAACATCATGGCGCTTATAAAGCAAAAGAACTCAATGCGTGATTTCGCACCATTTTGCATGATTGGCTTCGCAATGCAATGACGGAAAAGGAAGGTCCATTTGCCTCTTTGATGCACACCACTGCTACGCAAGTCATTCTGTATGTCCCACAAGTCGTTGTGTGTGTGTGTGTGTGTGTGCCAGGTCCATCGAACAAAAAGGATCAAGTGTGTGTATGTCCCAATCTTCTTTCTCTAAACACTTTCCAGGCTCGTTGTCCATGATTTTTTCAGTCCATGTGACACCGTAAATCAAATCGCTTCTATGAAGAACTCATTTAAACCTCAAAGCGCCCTCCGCCCTAGAAAATACGAAGCAGCTGACGATTCGGTTTGCAATTCGCCAAAAATTTGCTTCTCTTGATGGTTCAAATCACCGGACTGGTCCCATGTTGATGGTTGCTTCTTCGCCTGGTGGCGTGTACGGGCCCGTTGGCCACTCAGCTTGCGGCAGATTTGCAAAAAACTTGAGTCGACGACTTCTGGGTTGCAGCTCGACCCATTTCGTTGTGTGCATTACATACCCTCCACGCCAGTAGCTTGGCTACAGTCCGACCATTTAAACGACACATATGATAGACAATGTGTTTTTCGTCACAAAAAAATTGTGCCAGACATTTTAGCGGCTAGCGAATCTTGACACATGTTTTTTGCGAACAAAACCACCACATCAGAATTCAAAACAACTGCCAGTCGAACCACTCGTTTGACATGGGACTTCTTCGTGAGGAGGTTGAGCACCTTAGCTTCTTGTTTGATTTTGCCTCAAATTACAAAGGTCCTTTCTACTGAGATGCCTCTAGACTGACGTCCATGGGTTTCGTTCAAGAACATTTCCATGTTCGACAAGCAGATTGGGGGAGGGTGTCATGGCTGGATCCCCATGGCCAAAGATGGTCTTCTTGGCGCAGTTTGCTTTGTCGGAGCGCTCAGACGAAGAAGAGCTGCGGGAGGCAGCTGAGGTGAAGGGAATTTAAGATGCCATGAAGGTGCCATCTCCAGCGATTCCAGGTCGGTCGTATGACAATGTTTAGGGTTTAGGGTTTAGGGGGTGAAGGGTTATTTTTTTCCGTTTTGTTGCGTGTTTCTTGTTGAACGAGCCATGTCGATGCGATAGGGGGAGTTGGACCAAAGTTCCCGCTTGATCTGGGACCAAAAGGAACACACATGAGAGATTCGTCATGACGAAGATGTGTCCATCCAGATGCCCTTGGTACCATGGAACCACTTGCGTCGATTACAGGGCTCACTTACGTCGATTCCTCCCTGTGACCGATCCTGTAGGGGCCCAGTAGGGGCCGCCGCGTCGGCGCGGGGTCTCGGTGGTGCGATCCGTCCGCGTCTCGCATCTGAGCCTGAGGCACACTGGGCACGGGTGGCTCTACAAGCACGACAAGCGCGTGTGGAGCTGAGGAAGTGGGGCATGGGATGGGAGATCCTGTAGGCTGGATGCTCAGCTTGACTCATGTAGGCTGGATTTCGTCCAGACGACTTTCTCTTGGGTATTCTTCAAGCTATCGGCCGTAGGGGGGATCAATCTGGACACGATTTTGCGGGGGTTTTGGATTTTATTCATGTGTGCATTCCTGTCCTACCCTCCCCCCAACAAACATGGAAGTGAAAACCTCCGCCATTCGGATACAGCAAGATGCAAACACCAAGCCAGCAAAAGCAGGCAAGGCTGGCGATGTGCCTACAAGGCCTTTTGGAGAGCGTGACTGGCTAGGCTCTAGGCTTTAGGCTTTGCAGATATTCCCTCGTTGGTATGTTTGGTGGGAAGAGAAGGATGTTCTTCAGCATTGTTGGTGTAGTATGGCTTGTTTGAATCGGAGCTGCTGCAGTGTGACAGGACTGACATGCGCCAGAGTCACAGAAACTTGCTACCATGGTTCACAAAAGCTTCCTTGGCCTAGCCAAGTTTGCTTAGGCACCGAGGAGCACTTCAAAGTCAAGTGCCAGAGGCCGGGTCGAGGAGAGAACTCCGACGGAGAAACTCTGATGCAGTCCTTCAAATATACATTCACCTGGGAACCCAAGCCAGGAAAGGAAGCCCTGCAGGACTCCAAGTTGTTTTGGTTTTGCAATAATTGGCACTTGGAACTGGGAATCATATACTGTATATATATATACACACACACGGTATATATATATATACACTGTATATATATATATGCACATATGCATCAATATATATATATATGTATATGATTGGTGAGGAATGGGGACACGGATATGGATCAGGCGACCTTGTATCACTTGGGAATTGTGGACGCACTCGTGTGCAACAAGACATTCCTATTTCTGATTGGGCGGGGTAGGTGCTCCCAACATGAAGCAATCCCGAGAGAGGTGCTCTGTGCTAACTTTGGACGGTTTTTTGCCTGGTGTCGCTTGTGCATTTGTGTCATATCAGCGACAAGCCTCAGCATCCCCTGGTGACCCTCAGAGGCCGGGGCCCCATCGAGCGAGCGACTGGGCAAGATTTGTTCACCGTTTGAAGGTTCCAAACCTCCTGAATTCCAACGGTTCTTATCATCCTCCGCTTGGTCGGTCAAGAGGTCACCCCTTCTCACATGCCCACGTTTTGGGTGACGCATCATAGTGCCAGACATAGGCCCGGCCATGGCAAGACTTGCATCCTATACAGGCCGGCTTTTTCAAGGTTTTCATCCTAGCTGGGTCGCTTTTTGCAGAGTACTACCCCAATCAATCCTTTTGCAATCGAGTTTGGTGCATCGATTTTGGAGGTCAACTTCCGTCCAACACGGTAAACACCATGCTCACACCTTTTCACGGTTGCCGGTGTCGCAGGTCATAGAAGAGTTGGGGACAGCTCCCGTGGTCTTCGTTGAAACGGTCCTCGGTGCACGTCGTACGGCTCCGGTCGCTCCGTGGTGAGTATGTGGTGGTGACTGGGTGACACCGAGCCGGAGCTGTCAGGTGGATCATCGACAAGCACGAGGTGAAACAGTGTCGATGATCACAACATATCACAACCTATCACAACAACAGTCGAAGAACATGTTCAACTGCGGCCGGGTTTTATACACCGAGCCGTCCTCTTTGGCACCCTTCATCCCCAAAAGGGGGCCGTCATCTTCAGGCTGCAGGAGGCACGCGGCAGACTTGCTGCTGGGTGGCACTCGGGTGAAAGGACGCTCTGAGTCGCTTTGGTGTTGCGGAGCAAAAGAGAGTCTGGACCCACTGGGATCAGCGAAGCTCTTTGGTGCCATGCATGGAATTTGAGCGATTCTTCTTGGTAGACAACTGCGTGGTGATTCAAGTTTGAGACCAAAAACACTAGAAATCAGAACAATGGGAAACTGTTAGATCCTTGACATGTGACATACTGGATGCTTCTAAGTTTCTAAGCTTAACACTTCAAACAAGTTTCTTCATGTTGGTGAGTTGAAGAAAATCAGAGACTTATAACCAGAGCCCAAGCATAAGAAACCTCAGAGACTTGCTTGATGAGTTGAAGACCATCAGAGACTTCAGTTGAAGAAACACGTTCCACTTCGCATCCCAGTGGATTCCCATTAAGGCACGCCGGGGCCACCGCGTGGCGGAGCTCCTACTGGAGGTGCCCAGAGAGCAGATCAGGCGCTCCCGGGACATTGGTTTTGTGTTCGTATGGAACGGTGAGAACAAGGCAGGCAAGATGAGTCACACCAGACTGGAGGGTTTGGTGTAAGATTGTGGGGTCCTATGAACTTGATGGAGATCAAGATCGCAACATCACGTCCTTTTCACTTGTGCTACTTGCTTGTTCTTATGACTTCTTGGCATGGAAAGCCCCCAAAGACTATCGAAGACTCAACCCGAAGGTTGTGCCCGCATTCTTTGGTCTCTCAAACTTGGGGAGGACAATCCCTGGGCCGGCCAACTAAAGTGATGATCAAGGTGATGATCCCATCCTCCAACCTGCTAAGCGATGGCCTCCGAAAAACGCTCAGCCTTTCGCTCTTGGGTCAAAGTGTACGTGCTCCACATGACGGTTCTTTTTTTTGTCATCGCCTTTGTTCATCAGCAGGCATCACTCAAGGCCCCTACCATTCCAAACCCAGTTTTCGCTTGGGATGATGTACTGGGTACAACCTAACCTACTGTATATGGTTGGGTATGTATGGTTGGGATGATGTATATTTTCCTGAAACTGGCTGAATCCCCTAACCTTCGAAGATCTTTCTCTTTAAAAACCGGTTCCCGGGAGCTGCAGTTCTCTGCCCCAGTCGTGACCTAACCGGAAGTCCGCCCAGTCGCGAAACGGTGCAGACCGTGTGGGGATTGAAGCACTCGGTCTGCTAAAACTTCTCCGTTGAGGGTCGCACAGTGCGTGGTTTTGATTTTCGATCAGCACTTGCAGCCACTTGCTGGCGCAATGTGGCCAAGCATGTGGCTGAGTGCGCACCGAGCATGTGTGAACCATGTCCGATGGTTTCCACACGGAGCAGTTCAACATCGGCATTTTTTCGCAGTCGAAAACCAGTGCAACCCAAGTGGCCAGTGAGTCGCGCTTTGATTGAGAAAGTAACCCAGTTAGTGAACCACGTCCCCACCCCTTTCTTGGGAACTGAATTCTCCAAAACCGGTGGAAAAGGGTTTGAATTCTCCTAGGCAAGGGTTCATGGGGCCCGAATCAAAGCTAGACTACGCACCACCACCACCACGCAAAGCAAATCATCCGGCATTTTCCGTGCAAGACACATGTCCGTCAATGTGTGTGGCCACTTACAGTCGCTGGAGTGGCCGCAAGTGACCGCAAGCGGCTTCCAGTGGCCGCTCAAGTGGCCGCAAGTGGCCCCTCCGAGCAAAATCAAAACGCACGTCATTTGCCTGCTCTCCGTAAATTTCTACCTCACACGAATTCAACTCATGCATTCTCATTGAAACAGTCCGTAGAAAAAGACATGTTATCCGGGGGGATGTGAAGGTCGTGCAGGATTTTGTTCGGCAAGAGTTTGGGACATACATGTTTTAAAAGATCCATATATTCAGTTCAAGGAGAAGGCTACACATGGCCCAAAGCAGGAACACCACCACTTGAGACAAGAAAGCAGAAAAGAACTGAACACTGTTCTTAGCACTCTTTTCCCAAACCAGGGTGTTGACTCATATCGCCTAGTAAAAACCATGCGCATGTGCCATGTTGCTATACATAAACCGAGAAGCTTGTATGTGTAGTTTGCATTGTTTGCCAAGGAAATCCTATGTCGCTGTTTCTTTATTGTAGCGGGTCGAGCAAGTCGCAAACATGGGAGACACTGGAGTGCAAACACGGCTAGCTTCGTCTCTTTTTCTATTTTGCAGGGCCAACTGCAAGTCTTGCAAGTAGAGCAAACTTGAAATGGCGTGTGTCTTTTCGTTTTTTTGTTTGGTGTTTTGGCAGGAACAACCGAACGGCTGCAAGCATCTAAGGTCTCCACAGAAACCAACTTTGCAGGCGAAGTGAACACCCAAAAGAAACTGGGAGAACTGATGTAGGTGTGGAAAATGACATTTTCGAAGAAAGGGTGCCAGGAAACCGCTTCTGGCCGATTTTGGTCCGCTCTATGCCCCAAATGCCACGGCACGGCCCTGGTTCTCAGGCAGAAGGTCTTCCAGTGCTGGCAGGATTCTTCGAGGCCGTCGCTTCCGAAAAGCGCGGAATCTTCGACGCGTGATTTGGGTTCGGTGAATCTGAACAAAAACTGGCGAGGAGGGCAGTCGAGTGGAGTGAAGTAGAGTGGATCGATCCCGAGGATAGGCCACAAGCTATTTCAACCCCCAGCAAAACCGAGCCGAAGCAGAAGCCTTCTGGCCGAGCTTTCACGAATGATCCATGTAAATCCACGGGGACTTCCAGAGGTTGAAAGATCATGAAAAAGAGTCCAGTTTTGATCAACAAGGTTTCCATGGCTAGAAAGAAGGTAGGCCTTTAGCGATGATTTGGCCGTTTTGGGAGGCGTTTGTTTGAAGCGATGATTTCTTGGGACGACTTGACGCTTTTGGCGGCACCGACAGGTGGCGAAAGGTGGTGATCAAACTAACCGTAGACTCGACTTGGTTTCTGCGGTGAGCAGCTTGAAGCAGTCCGTCAGTACCGGCGGCACCCGATGAACACGATGCTAACCAGAAGTTTCGACCACGAAAAACCATGCATCTAGAGCGTGATAATTAGGTTTTTCTCATGGTATTTTAGGGTAAACCAGTTCGGGTGGACTGACTCCGAATCCGTCCCAGCCAAGTTTCAGGCATTTACAGTGGGGTGATCAAAGATGATAGACATGATAGATAGGCCCACCCAGAACCTTTCTTTTGAGCCCCGTGGCATGGAAGAGTAAAAGATTTGACAATCCCTCACATGGCCCCGTGTTTTGTGGAAACAGAAGCAGATCAGTTAGCCACTGGATTTGTGAAGCCAGCAGAGAGCAGGTAGTATCTACAAGGGTCACTTCAATGTGGATGATATGTATGGTAGAAAACTGAAAGATTAATACTGTATGCGCTGTATGTATATATATACACATACCTACATATATATATATACACACACCTTACTTTCAATATTATGGTATCTTCAAAAGCTGACATTTTTTCCCTGGACAAATCTGAGAACCTTCCTGTTTGAGGAACTGCCGGGTTGTGTTAGTGACTGTTAGTGGCCAGGACCAAGACTTGAAATCTTCTTCTTGATCATTCCTCAACTTGGTAGCTCTCACCGTGTAGCTCACGTGGAACCACGTAGCGTTTGGTGACGCTAGTGCTTCGGTGACCCTGGGGTTCAGACATGTCCGCTCAACCGCCGTGCTTTGGAGTCCAGACCAGGCGCAGGACTCGCCATGCGCGCATGTCCGCTCAACTCGCCCGAGTCCAAGCACTAGTCGACAGGCAGGGAATGCAGGGGTTTTGGGGGTGTGGTGTGGTGCAATCCTGGAACCCCGGTCCCAAGCAGAAACTGTTCTGGTTGTTCCAATATGGCGCCAGCTTGAAATCCTTTTCTTTCTGGATACTCTTGACCGATGGATGCCAGTCCAGCCTGAAATCCAACCGGCCCCCAGGGATGGGACGAAAGGAAGAGGACGGTGGTGTTGGCGAAAAAGGGATCGCGCGATTGGTGCCAACTGCCAGACCCCTTTTCTTGTAACGAGGCTTTGGGCTGTGGAGGATTCCGGAGAGCTTTTCATTTTTTTCAGGTTCGAAGCTGACAGATGGGGCCTGGTTTGTAAGTCGAGCCAGACACAGCCACCATCGGGACAAGGCGGATCATCGGAGCCTTCGCGGCATGTGATCCGATGCGAATGATGAAGCAGAGTAGGGCTATGAGGATCTATGAGGTATGGACAAGTCAACCCTTGTTGCTTCTCACCAGACATCAAAGACACATGAATCCACCTTTGGACCAGGGCTTCTTGCTTGCGGTAGCACCATGGCTTCTTGGGGGGAATCTGCAGAGAGACAACCTCGGTGGAGTCGGGACTTGCTTTCTGCTCCGAGATGGACAGGTTCACGTTTTTGTTTGGCCATAGAAGTGAGGGGGAGTGAGGGGGATATTCTTCCAAACCATGCCGGATCATGCTGTGAACTGGCCAAACCCGCGAAAAGAGGCGCCGCCTGTATGTTTGTTGGGATGCGGGTTGGTCTTTCCACGAATTAGGACGTTCTTCAGGGCAGAACCTGTCTGACAGGTGTTTCTTTTCTTTCTCCACCTGCGGCTTTCGGTTTCGGTAGACCCACCGACCCCTCCGCCTCGCGGGGGTTTCGACCATCCGATCGGAGGCTCTGCGGGCGTTGCGGGGTCCGTTCGTCCGGTTTCGACGGGTGGGTCACGGACCTTTCGGGAGACGTCCGTGACGTCTGCTGGGAGATCGTCGAATCGAAAGCACTTAGAGAAGCCAGGAGTCACAGAGCTCGGGGTGGTGTTCAGTCCCATCCAGTGAGTGGATGTTCTGGGCACCAACTCCTACCTCCATGGATCGCAGCCCAGCCCGACATGTGCCTGCAGGGTGGTTGGAACGTTTCCTTTTTTTTGGAACCTTCAGCCACTCGGACCAGTTCGGACCGTCAGAGCCCTTCTCTTGGTTGCGTCGACCATCTCCAGGTCGACCTCGCCGGGTTCGGCAGCCATTTTTGTCACCCAAACGCGTCCGACCGGTGGGCGTCTGATCATCCAAGCAGCGTCAGGAGGGAAGAGGGAAGGAGGGGGTGAAACAGAAGGGGCTTTGGAAGCGGGGTTGACTGGCGAGAGAAGAAGATGGCCTCCAACCTATGGCCGCAATGGCCTCCAACCTATGGCCGCAATGGCCTCCAACCTATGGCCGCAATGGCCTCCAACCTATGGCCGCAATGGGCTCCAACCGATGGCCGCGATGGGCTCCAACCAAAAAGGCGAAATGTGTAGGGACCACTCTGAGATGACGGAGAGCTGCTGCTCCACTGGATCCTTTGAACGTGGAACCAACGAAGAGCCACGGAGCTTCGTTCCGTTGGGCGCCCGCCGACCCATCCGGCGACTCGGCTCGGGCCGATTCAGGAGACCCATGACGACCGCCGGTGTGTGGGATCCGAAGCAACATGGCATCGCCGCCTTGGCGATGGTGTGATTTGGGGTGCTTGATTATGGGCGGTGTGTGTAGGAGGGTGTGGATGGAGCCTGTTAAAACACTGGACTGGTCAACAAGCTTGACAGAGACGAAGGACCTGTTGGGTCCCTGGAGAATCGGATCAAATCCCTACAGGGTTGAACAGCCTTTTCTTCGCTCCTCTCGACTCCAGGGTCCGGGTCGAAAGGTCCGGACCACCCGGCGTCGCACGGTCCGGGTGCGCTTTCGACCCAACCTGGCCGCACCTGCGCACCTGCAGACGCCACCCGGTGCCGAAAGCCTTTCGGTTCGGGAGTGAAAATGGAGTGAAGTTCTGAAGGACACATGAAAAGAAGGGGCTGAATGGGTCTGATGATGGTGACCCTTTCGTAAAGAAAGGAACTTCCTCGAAGAATGGGTCGAGCAAGATCGTCGAGCAAGAGAAATGGGCCGATTGGACAGGTGAAGAATCTTGGCAATGCATACTGACAGGTGAGAATTGCCTTTTCTAAGCCAAGTTGAAATGGTGTTTCAGCCGTGTAAATGTCGCAAGCCTTTTCTAACTACATAAATTTGGCCAGCAAAACAGAATAGAACCTGGGAAAGAGACTCACATTGCACTCGCATTGTTCAATTCCTTTATATACAAAGTCATCCCTTTCCCATTCACCTTTGGAATGTTCTCCATTCAGCAGGGCCCCTGGTTTGGTGGACTTCACTCCAAAGGGCTCCAGCTCCTTCTGCAGAGCTTGGCATGGCCCCAGCTGAAACGGTCGTCACGTCCTACATAGAGTCACGTCCCGGGGAGAACCCGCCAGTTCCGAGTCGGCGCCCCCCAAAAAGAAAGGACAGCATCTACTAGCGATGGTTTCCAACCTAGTAGCTTCTTGTTCCTAGTAGTACGGCCAGGAGCCCCTAGTAGCGTCCTTGCTCCAAGTAGCGATGCCAGGAGCCCCTTAGTAGCTTTTTGTTACTACTAGCGATGGCCTCCAACCTACTAGTTCCGAGTTGACCCCCCAAGAAAGAAAGGAAGTCAAACGGCCACTGGCACTGTCTCCAGATCCGTAAATTGCTGGCCGCCAGAAAGGCGTTGATCAATTCTTCCAACTTTATAACACTAATTTTTGATGTAGATAGACTCTTGAGGGGTGGAAATACAATCAAGAGTCTACATTACTCAGCTGGACGAAGAGCCCCCAAAAAGCCAAAGCCCGCCTTTTTTTTGAGTCCGGGTCCCGTGTCCTTCAGTTCCATTGAACCGCTGGGGGTGTTCTTCCGTTCTTCCCAGCACGTTCTCGTTGGCGCGTTCTTCTCCGAAAACGATGGGGGGGGGGAATCAGAAGTGATGATCTGACACCTGAGATGATCTGAGGACATGAAGAGAAAGTCCTCCTTCTCCCTGCTGGACCAGATTAAGCGGCCCATGCCTGGTGATGTGGGGGTGCCCTGGGGGGCGACGACCCGCGACGCGTTTAGGTTCTGCGGACGACTGAGTGATGAAGTGCACCGGGTCGATCGAGTGCGGTGGGTGCGGGGTTTCTTCCAAAGCTCGAGGAAGGTGTCACAGCCAAAGCTCGACGGATGGTAGGTGCCCTTGGTACTGGCTGTGCGCTGGTGCGGATTGTGAGACAGAACAGCAACTGGTCACCCCTCACCGCCTTTTTCCCATGTGAAGTCACCAACCACAGCAACTCCAAAGAAGACCGACTGACGGGCCCCGACCAGCCGCAGGAGGAGGTGGACGGCGACAAAGTGAAGTTGGAGAAGCTTTGGAAGCTCATGGCTCCGCGGACGAAGCGGTTCACGTCCGCGGGGCGTGCGTTTGGTGCGGAAGAGGGTTGGACGTGGTTAAACCAGGCAGTTCGGTTTGGTGCGGTGCCGCAGGCAGGTGCCATTAGGGGGTGAGGTGCCAGGCGAGTAGCGGTAGCGGTCTGTTCGGACAAGTGAAGCGGTAGGACAGACAGTGGACCGGGAGGTGAAGCACCCTGGTTCGGTGCTGCTTACAGAGCAATCCTGTTCGAGTTTGGATGAAGGAGTTCCTTTTCAACCTGGCGATGACGTGATGGGAACTGGGTCTGGGGAAAGAAGACTTGTAGAGCCAGAGGCACACCCAGCAACTCTGCTTGCGCAGTTTAGTTCCACGGAGTTGATGCAGCCGGGACCGACATGACCGGGACCGACATGGTTCATGATGAAGTTGGAAGGATCTTTGATTCTGAATGGCCTTTTCCAACCAAAATAAGGAAGACATCGCCATACTCAGTGGCCTTTCGCATGCCAACGTCTCAGTGCAGGATTAGGGCACTTGAGGCGATCCAGAGCTTTTACGAGCTTTTCATAGCACACGCGTGTGAACCCAATGATAGATCCAGAACGGGTTAGAAAAGAAGAGACGAACCTCGAAGGGTCATGAAGATAGACCGAATGGTTCCCTGCCGTCCCAGTCGCCAGTCCCAAGCTGAGATTGGCCCCACCATCCAACGGGCATCGTTTTTGGGCCGAAACATCCCAAACAGCCGCTTTTACGAAGGGTTTTAATGGGTTTTACACATACAAAGCCATTGCTCTAACCATTTTGATGATCAGAATCGCTCCCGGAAAGGGTCCCCATGCTTCCTCTTCCGACTGCGAGCGGCTTCGGGCCGCGCAAGCCCCATCCGTGGAAAGTGCTTCTCGGGGTCCACCCGGCGGGTCGTCACTAGCGATGAAGACGGCCGAAAGAGCAAAACAACAAAGAGGTGACACTTCCATGCTGTTCATTTCAGGGAAGCACACTTGGCATCCATTCAAAGTCCCAACCTAGGACGGTTACAGTTTTTTTTGGGATCTGGGAGGGGCGGGGCAAGCCACACCTTGTGCCGAGTTTTTTCTATGAACCGCGCTCCCCGTCCACGCCTCGGCGCCGGGATGCTGAGGATACCTATGAGCCCAACGATCCGGAATCGATCCAGAAGTCCTTCGCAAGGCATTTGGAGTATTCCTTGGCTTGCACTCGTTTCAACTTCACCATGGAGGACCGGGGGAGATGGGATCTGAATGGGTGACTGATTAAAACAGGCAGGGTTGTGTGTGTTTCTGTTTTTATGTTGCATTCCTTCTTTATCTTTTTTAAAGGACAGGTGGTGAGTTTGGAAGGATGAAGCGCCAAAAGACGGATCCAGCTGGTTCTTGTTCTGGGCCCTCCCCCCTTCCTGGCCTTTTCGTGCGCCAACCCACTCCGCCCCTCCACGTGGTCAGGACGCCTACCGCGCGGCGGGCTTGGTGCTCCGGGATCGGCTGTTGGAGTCCCTGAACGACACCAACGACTAC